ACAAATCTACATATCACACTACTCACACCCACTTGCCATGCATGCACATTGCACACACCACACAACCCACATAACACGCGGACACACCAAACACAGCATACAATACTGTACCGCACACATCACTCCCATCAGTGAAGCCCCTCCCTCTCTCTTCCCAGCATGCCCCTGCATGTGAGTCCACCAGGGTTTTTTGTCTCTTCTTCAGAATGAACTCCAAATCCCTTGGCTGGCCACACCATGCACACACACACTTCTGTTTTTAACTTCTACATCTTAGAGCTCAGCTACTCCACACTCACCGTCCCCTGCCTTACCAGAACAGGTGTTCAGATAATATCCTTTGTGCTTTGGAAGGGCCACTTTGCCTCCTCATTGTAGTCTTCTTCATACAGAACCACTCCATGGTCACCACTCAAGATTCAACCCAACACTTAATCAGCTCAATGACGTCTTCTCTACCTTTGCCTGAACAACTTGCTGCTATGTTCACACTGCCCCTCGGTGTGCCCCCTTCCATATGTTTTGTGACCACACCTATGTTTCAGCACCTCCAGTGAATTAGTTATTCACTCAACAACTGAAAATATCCATCATGTACCAGTCACTGGAATACAGTGGGTTATCTCTGTGTTCCTGCTGGGGCCAGAGAAGTAGCAGGCAATCAGAAAGTGTTTGTTGAGTGAATAAATGAATGAAAAAAAAAAAAAACTACAAATGATATTTTATCATAGCATCAAGAAAACCTCCTCTGCTATTCTTTTTTTACTCCATTTGTGATCTAAAAAGTCAATTGGGGATAAATAACAGCAAACCAGCCCTACAGGACCCCAAAGCCATAAAACCCACAGAACTGGCAGCACCTTCACCAACTAATGATAGCTGATGCACCCCACTGGTGCCCTCCAACTTCTAGACATTCCTGTCTCAAGCAATTCCCACTTCAGACAGTTCAGTACTTCATTATAGGTAAGCAACAGTCTCTCTTTTGGCATTAACTTACTATAAACACCTAATTCCCCACAAAATAAGTGCTACTTGTGAGTTAAAAGTCTCTGTGGATTAGCTTGTAGATCTTGATTTACCATACACTTTCCACTAACAAAATGTAATTCAAGTACAAGTGACAGAGAGTCATGAGCAATGCCACACAATCAATTATTCTTTGCAAAACTTTGAGTGAAGTTGTAGACTTTCTCTTTTGCCATTATGTTGGCATCGAAGCACCTGCTAGTCCCGGAAACTGTTACTATAAACGGAGACCAGCAAAGTCATAATGTGAACCTGGACTGGCTCACACTGAGCTGCTATTTAAGGTCATGAGGGTTCTGGAAACAAGCTGTTACTTAGAGAGGACGTGACCGCCATCCTTGACTAAGTCTGGAGTACAGAGGCAAACAGTTGCACAAATGCAGGGGAACTGTGTTACTAAGCTTCTGTGACTATAACAAATGCCTGCCCTGATCAACTTATAAAGAGAAAAAGGTTTTGGCTCATAGTGTTGGAGGCTTCAGTCCATAAACAGTTGGTCTTGTTGAATGGCACATGGTATACATCATGGCAAAGCAAAAACATTCACTTCAGGGGAGAGTCAAAGAAAATAGGAAGGTGACGAACCCACTAGTCTCTCCCAAGAGACACCCTCTATGATCTGGAGGTTCCCACTAGACCCCTCTTAGAGATTCCACCACCTTGCAGTATTCTAAACTAGAAATCAAGGTTTTAACACATAGACTTTGGGGACATTCCACATCAAAGCCGTAGTAAAAACTGAATCAACTACTTCTTTGGATCTCTGATGTTTACAGACCTGAGGCAAAGAATAAATCAGTGAATCACTAGATTATTTTTTTCCCTGGTTTTTTCAATACAGGGTTTCTTTACGTAGCCTTGGCTGTCATGGAACTTGCTCTGTAGACCCTCGAACTTACAGAGAACTGTCTGCCTCTGCTTCCCAAGTGCTAAGAGTAAAGGTATGTGCCACTACTGCCCAGCCACTAAGAATAAGGAAATGAAAAATTAGTGTCAATTCATATCCCACCGATCTCCAATGAACCATGTTCAATGTGCATCCTATTTAAAATCAGTTAATAGTAGTGATTTTTCCTTATGAGAATAAAATAAAACCCCAGATACAAATTTGATCCTCATCTACCCGGTTTTTAAATCTCCAAGCACGAAAAGAGATGTGTGTGTATATTTTAATTGTTGATTACAAAATAAACAACACAGGATGACTAGGGTATGAGAAATTTCATCCACTCAATGAATGAGTCATTCTGCACAGCCTAGCTCTCTGAATTGCTGAAGCACACCAGAACGATTTTGAGGTTAATTACCTTGGGTGTAAATATTCCCCATGTATGCTGGACATTTTCTTGTCTTCTTAAAGAATGTTTTTTAAAGGTACCTTTTGGTACTTTGCTGCTTTCACCAGGAGACAGCAATCATTCATTTATATTACTACATAGAGATGACCATAGAGTCAGTTAGGAGTGTCTACCTTAGTAGTTCCCAGACATCAGGGCTTTTGATCCAATTCTCGAGTCTAGAGTTATAGTTTTTCTGTCTTTCCTAGATGTCATGTTATTTGGAGTCACTCTTCACTGCTGGTAATAGAAGCTTCTCACCCTCTTCTAAATATGCAACGATGTGGACTATTGTTTACGATGTTTTAAGGGTTGTATGCATCTGGGATGTAACTCAGTTACATAGAGTGCTTGCCTCACACACAAGGCCCTGAGTTCAACTCCCCCAGCACCACATAAACCAGTGTGATAGCACACACCTCTGACCTTAGCCTTCAGGGAGATCAGAAGTTTAAGGTGCCTGCACTGCAAGTTTGAGGCCAAACTGGACTACATGGGGTTCTGCATAAAAAGAAAAAAGATTGTATCTAAGAAAGTAGTGTGTTCCGAGAAAGTCAAGTTTTCTAAGTATTTTATACCTTCTTCTCTGGTTGCTAAGCAGGTTCTTTTGTCCATTTCCTGGTCCTTGGCTAAATTCCAGATAAGCAGAGAAGTGCAACAGGTTTACCAGGACACATCTGGATACACTCTTTGTGCTCTCCACCCTTGGATCGTAAACCATCAGCTCCCACAACAACTCGGCCACACAGAACAAGTGCAAAAGGGTTCCATGAGGGAAAAATATTTGGGGAAGATGGCTCCTATCATATGTAATGGTTTCATATTTTGTATTTCTACATCATTTAGCCACACAAATTGGTTGGTGTTTTACATAAGTATTTTTTTAAGTTTAAGAGAGAAAATTACAAATTTTCAATAGTTTTGTTTGTTAAATTATAACAAATTATTTTTAGTATCATACATTTAATTTACTTACTGGCTTGATAGCTAATATATTGAAGAAAAATCCTCACCATTGCCCAAAGGGGAAAAATGTTGCACCAACATTTGAATTACATAAAGACAAAGTATTAGCATTGGACATAAATGACTGGACTTAGATTTTGTGCATTCTACAAAAGGAAAAGTTTACATAATCCTGTTGGTCAAATCCAAGGAAGCAAGCTCAAGCAGGTGAAAGCTCTGCTTTGACATTAAGGACCAAAGTGGGGTAGGCAGATGTCAGTTACCCTAGTCATGCGTCTACACCCAGAGGAACGAAGCTGGCCTTCAGCTATTTATAAATGTAGCATTCAAGGTTCAGCAAGGGGGCCCAGCCTCTGTGCCCTTCTGAGTAGCTGGCCTGGGCTGCCAGGCTGGGGCTGAGTGGAGTCCTTCGTCATTGACCCTTCATACTTGTCAGTTCAGGATCATTTGGATGCAGTGGCGAAAAGGCCTGCAGGATTTCTATCTCCACTTCCACCCTGTGATTCTATATAAGGAAACATCCCATTCTAGTGTTTTCAGCATCGTAAGCGCTGTATCAGGCTGGAGGAATGAGGAAGCCACAGGCCCTTCTCTGCCTGTCCTAAAGGCTCACACTCTACAATCTACAATCCCTGCTGCCCCGGACTGGACCTTGTCAACAAATGGCAACCCAGCCCGAGTGTCTTGCAGACTCACAGCTAACATGGAACAGCTGGAAGAGGACCCTGCTTTCTTTACTCTGCATAAACACTGGGGGCTCTGTTCACCCTCCTGCAGCAGAAAGAACCAAAGAATTCCCCTGCCCGCCCCAATCACAATTGCCACGCTCTCCCACGCCTCTCTCCCCCCACCCATCTCCAGCCTCCCCTTACTCCAGATATAATTTGAGTCTGTCACCACCCATAATGGCAGATGGCAAACCGCTGGACGTTCCGACTATATTTACTTTCTGTAGTAGTTGCTGTGTCTGTAAATACTAAAAGGTTACTAAGAAACAATTCTGTTCTGTTCCTTAAAGTTTCCTCACAAAAGCCACACACTGTGGAGCCCAAGTCATGCCTTTTCTCCCCACAAGATCCGTTATCAATGCGGATAACATCATGACCAGTAAGTATAGCCACATCACAGCCATGCTGCAAATGTCATTTTGACAGCCTATAGCGTCACCTACGTATTATTCGGAAGACAAACCTCTAAAACAGTGCTATCAGTGGGGGTTGGAGGAGAAAGAATAATAAAATTGCATTTTTGGGTATTCTTACAGCCTGTGTGAGCTTGGCGACTGGAGGGGCAGTCCCGAGCTTCCTGGTGTATTGCTGAAAGCCAGCGAGCCACGTTACCCGAAAGGAGCGGGAGGGGGGTGGCAGAAAATCCAGACTCTACGTGACCTGACTTACTTATTTCCAAGGAAAGCGCAGGAGAGAAAAATCAATCATTCATGCTACCGTAGCTACCACACGGAATGGGCTAAGGAGTCCACAATGGGCAAAGCCCCAAAGCGGACAGAGGAGGTGAAGAAGGACTGGGGCAGAGGCAGACGCCCAGAGCCCCGGGGGCCAGTGGGGATGAGGTCCCCGAGGAGTGGAGGCAGGGGGGGGGGGGGGCCCGGACCGGGGGGGGGGAGTCTGGATTCCCGGGGAGCTGCGGGAGCCGCGGCCGCGCACTTACCCGGGCTGTTGGCCTCTCCTTCCAGGACGTGCAGCTCGGCGCAGTCGGCCAGAGAGTGCTCCAGGCAGAGCTGGAGGAAGCGGGCCTGGGTCTGGCTCACGCGTTTGAGCAACGACAGCAGCGCAACAGTCTGCTCGCACTCGTTCCAGCCCTTAAACCAGCCCGCCAGCACCCCAACCTGGTCGCGAAACATCATGGTTAGGGGGCCGCCCTCCGTCTACGAAGCCCCTCGGCACCCCTGCCCGCCCCAAAGTTTGGCGGAGCCGCAGCCCCGCGGCCTCCCGAGACGCGTTCTGGTTCCAAGGTCTCCGGTGCTGGGCGCTGCAGGTACTGACTCGGTTCCTGCCTCTCTCTCTCTCTCTCACTCCCTCTCTCTCTCGGTTCAGTTATGTTCCGGTGGATCTGGTTGATTCCCCAGAGACGGTGACAGACAGTAGCACGGAGATGTTTCTTTTGTAAAAAATAGCGATTAAAAAATATAAATCCTTCACAAGGCACAAAACTGAATGAAGAATGCTCTTTCCTCTTTTCTCGTAGCTTCAGGATGGTGATTTCCGGCGTCCCGGGGTCTCCTCCCCGCTGGGCGGCAGCTCGGACCCTTCACACCCGCATTCCCAAGCGGTAATCACTAGTGAAAGGACAGAAAGAGCTGCAGTGAGACCTCGGCCCCCAGGAGGAGAGCGTCTAGGGAGATCCAGGCATCATGGGGAGCCCGGTAGCGGTGGGGGGCGTGTGGAAGCCAAGGTTGGGGGTGTCCCACGGAGACAAGTCCCCCAAATTCCAGCCGGCCCCTCCACACTCGGATGCGCAAGCTGAGCTATTGCACAGCTTCCTTCCCAGGTGCGGGAGGAGACCCCGCGGCTTCCTGTTGCTGCGGCTGTGACCCGCTAGTGCTCCCTGCACGCCCCACCCGGGGTGGCCTCCGGGGCTGTGTCTGCGAACGCCAGCACCAGCAACAGATCCTCCCCGCGCTGAAAACTTGCAATGTGGCTGGGAAGGGGCGCGGGGGGGGGGTGGGGGCTAATGCAAAGCAGAGGCGGTGACAGAGGCAGCCAGGGTTCCAGCCTCCTCCTTCTCTCCTCCTCCTCCTTCTCTTCCTCCTCCTCCTCCTCCTCCCTCTCCTCCTCCCTCCTCCAATTCCTCCCCTCCCTCCCTCCTCCTCCCGGAGAAGCAGCCTCACAGCTCCAGCTCCCCCTACAGCCACAGCCAGCACCTCCACCACCAGCCCC